AGCCAGAATGACAGATGCATCTATGTTGAAAGTCAATGCCATTTGCTTAAGGAAGGGAAAATATATTAATAGGCCTTGGTCTTTCTCTGAGGCCCAATATGTTTCAAGAAAAGAGCTGTGGATTCTAGAGGGATAAGAATGCAATTATTCTGTAGCTTCTGACAGGTCAGGAGCTCTTCCTTCTAGGCTCTGCTGTTTGACCATCAGTAAGAGACTCGGGGGACCAAGGGACAGATTGAAAAAGTAGGACCAGACAGATGGTTATTTGTAATCATCATGTTTATGTAAATCCTATAAAGATGGGTTTCCAAGGCCTGCTATATTCATGGAAGGCCATAGGATTATGGCAAGACATGTTGGGGCCTATAGTTATTTTGGTAAGTCAAAAGTGTGGTTATTTTATGTGTTAAAATAGCAATATGTTATGAAACCACAAGTCCAGGATGGAGGATTTTAACCTGATTTTCCTTTTGCCTTGTGTTATGTGACACTGGTGACTGTAGTCTGGATTCTGGCCTAGTCTGGCAGGTGCTGGTTGCTGGTGGTCTCCGTGGTAGCAGAGACCTTTCCACGACTGTGCCAGGTGCACAGACTGCAAGGGTTTCTAATGCTGTGTTGCAACAAACCTTTGTCAGCTGCATTTACCGACACACAGAAATGTTTTGACTTTACCATTTTTGCCTGTTTAATTTGGACATTAAAACAATATCTCAAGCAAGTGCCTTTTCAGCAGATGTCCTGTAGGTAACAAACATTCAATTTTCATTTGAAATTCAAAGATGAATATAGCAATTTGCCACATTGGGTTTTCTGATCAATTGTTGTTTGCCATTTGGTATCCCTGCATTGTGATAGTCTATGCTGCTTCTTTCAACAGTCTTTTCAGTGTTTTCAATTAATACAGTAATATTTTGCATTACAATTACACCAGTTAACATTCTGTGGAAAATAAAACAATATTTTTGTGTACTGTCTCTACAAAGTTGCAGATCTTTTATAGATTGAATGTGATTCTCAGTTTTAGTATGATGATTAAAAAAATACACAGATTATGAATTTTATTATATTGTAACATTTAGATGTGCTTGTGTCTTCCCTGGTACTAGTACTTACTCAGAGAACAGATTGAAACCTGTTGCAGGTTCAAGTTACTAGTTGATTTTTACTCATAATTATTTAACCAAGTAAATCAATTGAGAGCTGTTGACATGGAGACCTTATTATACAGCACGAAATTCACAAAAAGCGATTTCAATGAAGAACGTTGCTGTAGCACAGCAACAGTGCAGCAAAAGGTTGCCATTTAGTATTTGCAATTCTGACCCTATGGTGTGATATTCAAAGATCTAACTGCTGTTCCAGTGCTCTGTAGTTCTAATTGGGGCAATGTAATTATGTGAGTATCACAGGTAACTGTACTAACACAACTGTTGTTTTTCATTTGTGGCAATTACTGTATCTAAATTTTGGTGTAGTTATTAAGTAGTAATCAAATTTGCATACAGTACAAAATTAAGATTACTGGCATACACTTTATACAAGGCAAAATCATTTAAATAGATAAAATTCAAGATAGGCCAAACACCTGATAGATTATGTTTAACAGACACCTGTAAAAGGTATTAGATGCACGTATTAAAAACAATCAAAATGTTTGAAGAGGATACTTACAAAAACACTTAGGCATTCATATGGAATTTGCAGATACATTGCTTTGCAAATTATATCAGAAGAATGTTTACAAGTACTATTTCTTTCTGTGAAGTAGAGGCATAGCATAGCTGTGATTCAAGTCTTAAAATAGGTGATTTCAGATTTAAATTGTATGGAATAAATTGTTTATTTTAATTTTAAAAAGTGGACCAAGCAATCAATGCATTTAACTTGTTTCCATGCACTGTAATCCCTTACTGCTGGCAAATCCTGGCAAACAGGAGGTTTGGCCCTTTGGCCTTTCTTAACTGTTTGGTAGTTTTTAGCAATTTGATCTGAGGATCTCATTCAGCTGTTTCTTAAAAAACTCCAACAATGTGGCAGAAGAAGAAATTTCTCCAAATGTTGACTGCCTTTTTTTCAGTACTTTCAGTATTTCAGTTCAATATTTTGCATTTGTAGTCAAAATAGGTTTTATTGCTTTAGAAATGACTGTGGTCCGAATAAAAGGGGCACATGACATTACTGTGCAGGGAAACCTCTGGGAGCCCTATGGTAAAGCAGATAGACAAGGGTCCTCAGCAGGAGATTACTACTTTAAGCTTATTTGCAGTGAGGATCTGTTGTAGTTTCCAGTATGGCTTAGATGAAGGGTATTCTCATGATTCATTCATTACACAGAGGAAGAAAGTAGCACAAAAGAAAAGAACACCATGGATTTGTGGGATAAAATAAGCATAGCATTCCACCAGCAATGCAGCCACATAGCTATCTGAAAAATTTAATAGCATCTTGCTTTATAGTATGCATTTCTACTTCTGCCTTTCAGAAATATTCCTCTTTTCGTTCATTCTGAAGACACCTAGGACGTACAATTTGTAAAGTAAAAGTACTGATGATCAGAATTCTGCTTGAATGTGTATCCCCAAATTTGCAATAGAGCATTAAAATTGTTTATATTTTGTACATATTTAGAATTCAAGAAGTATTATGTTTTAATATCATAACGATGATCAAAGTCAAATAATAAGTGTTATATATGGAGAATTAAACCAAAATTGATCAACCTTTTTATGGAACCGAAATTGTAGGTACAATTTAAGAATTAACCTGTTTTTATAATGTGAAAATGATATACAACCATTTATTCATTTTAACAAATTATTTTAGAACTTTCATACTAATTTGCTGATCATTTTAAGATTGGTTGGTATTTTCTCATGATTGTGCTCTGTAACATTATTTAAATTTTACGAGAGGTTTCTGACAATTGCATAAGACACTTGAGGTCAGAATGTTTTTTTTTGGCTACTGTTTGTTCAAAGGTAAAATCTAAACATTAATGAACAAGAAATAAGCAAATACACAAATAAAAACTACAGTAACGACATTAGTAGGTCAGTTGGATTTTAATTCAGGAACTCTTGAACAGATTACACACATCTGCAGTGAGCTACTAATCGTATAAGATACCTTAAATGACCAAGGTTATAACTATACTGGTGTAGCAAAGCAGCAATAATTTATTTTATATGCTTGGAATAATCATGCCAAAGCAAATCACATACAGTACTGTACTGCTGTGGACTGATGTGTCTATTTAATTACAATAAGCTTCAGTCTGTTGATATTATTTTCAGTCTGATCAGTATATTAAGCTTTTTTGGCATGGGGGAAGGGTGAGTCTCAGATATTTTTTATCAATCAACAAAATAAAATGATGTAAAATGTTAATCTTTTTACAAGACACAATGATAGTGTGTTGTTTTTATATACATTACAAAATTAACTGTAATACATATTGGATTATGGGGGCTAAAGCTTTTGTTTTGTGTATATGTGTAATTTATACATGTATGCATTTTTGTGTGCCTCACTTGTTAAGGATTTGGTGAATTGGGAATCACACTGGAGCGCACTGGGGCCTGTTAGCTTGTCTAAATCCCTCTTTACACCAGTGGGATTTGCATAAGAACCTGGCAAGTAGCTCTTCATTTAGCATTCAAACACTTCCACTTTACTTCTATTTGTCTGCAAAGCCAAATCCTCATGGCTGCGATTTAGGAAGACTGGTTTTGATTTGGAATTCTCAGGACTAGTTTCAAATGTACAATTTGTGGAAAATCTAAGGTGTTATTCCACAGGGATTAGATGTTGAGGTATTTGCAGACTGAAGTTTTCTGTGCAGGTGAGGTCATCCCAAAAACGGGTTTAATGATGAGCAGTAGCTAATTTTTCCTGCATTCACTGTAGCACTGGAAGGATGCTTTGGCTTTTACTGGCAATGAATGGATGTTTCTAAGAAAATTACCACATTCAAAAATCAACAAATCTGAATGTCAGGGAAATGCAAGAGATGGCCAAAGAAATTACCATTATGTTCTTGTGTTTTTATGACCATTGTAGGTTATTGTCTTTGCATTTATCTTTGTGCCTAAAATTTGTGCAGCTCCTACACATTGGTCATAATAACCTTAGTTTCCATAATGTGCAGAAGAGTGAATATTTGACAGTAAATTATTATAGTGTATTTCAGTATACTGTATCTGCAATTTTGTATGTTCTGTTTAAAGTATCTACAGTACTCTGCTGTCCTTATAGTCTTTCACATTTGCTTCTGGCCCTCAGGTGGGGTTCCAAAACATCTCTGATTACTTCTGTGGGATTTCACTTGAAGATCTAAAATTCAGTGATTTAGGGGGCATGGCAGATCATGCTTATTAATTTTGCATTAGCTTCTTCCAGGAAAACAGGGCATAGCATCCTTTTGGATGGTACAATATGAGGGCCTTCATTGTACAACTGCATATGCAAGACTAATCTTTATAATACCTCCAGCAGAATTTACTGTGTTAGCAAGAAATAACATGATTTCGTTCAGTCATAGTTTTGGAATTCTAGCCCTAATGTATATACGATATGTTTTATTAAACACTGAAATAGTTTTCGTGTTTAGCACATTTTTAAATACTGTATTCATTAACATTGAATCCTTCTGAAAATCCAAAATTAAGCATGTTATTGTTTAAGTGCAAGTGTTTACCAAAAAAAACAGAAACAGATGTTTATGTTTCTGAGTACTTTTTTGTTGTTACTCAGTCCACCTTATTTTTAATTACTATTTTGGGGAGATTCTGTTCACTAAACTCCACACTGCTTTTAGCCTACTTTACAAGCACCTCTTACTGTACAAGCACAATAGCTATTGGATTTGAATAAGACATTTTCACAGCTGTGTGTAGACATACTGGTGACAGAAGTATCTGGGACACCATCAATCCTAAAATAATAACACCGGATTTGATTTGCTTTGATGAATTTACCTACTTTTTTCTACTTTTCCACAGTGCTGCGGGATGACTTCCGACAGAACCCTACTGATGTTGTTGTGGCAGCTGGAGAACCTGCTATTCTGGAATGCCAGCCCCCTCGTGGACACCCAGAGCCAACAATCTACTGGAAGAAAGATAAAGTGCGCATTGATGATAAGGAAGACAGGATTACGGTAAGTGCTTATGAAGTAAGTGTTCCTGAGACAATGAGACATTTTGGCAGCTTGTTTGTTAATTTGACACTATGAACACCATTAATTTGGAAATGAGATGTCACCATGTCATTTTCTTACTTGCCATTGTCTCTGTTGTCTCTGTTGCTGGTTGAGCCAGCCTGAAGAAAACAAAGCTAGTTTGAAATAAGCTTGGATACAAATTTTTGCACCATTTGTTTAACATTTCGAATTGTTATGAAAGATGCCAGGATGAATAACTAATTTATTATCTAACCCTAACCCTAACTAATTTATTATCTAACCCTAACCCTAACCCTAACCCTAACCCATTGTTTTACGTGTTGAAACATAACATTTTAATATTGCACACAATGCAATTTTGCAATTTTGTTACATACAAATTAATATAGTTTTAAAACTATGCATATCTTTATTTTCATTCCATGCTGAGGAAGGTTCAACAGTGTTCTTTTTTTCAGCATTAAATTAACCTCTACTTTTAACTTTGCAGCCTGACATGTTCCCACTTGAATTTCCCTATATAATATACTGTATATATTTGTCAAAGCTTGTTCAGAAAGGAAAGGTTTTTCCATAGGCCAACAGTGTTTTTGAGATAAGGGTTCACTAGCTTGGATTAGGTGCATAAGCTTTTTGTCCATTCATACTACTGCAGCTTGACCTTTCTGGAAGCTCATTGCATTTCTCTGTGTAATAGATCCGAGGTGGGAAGCTCATGATCTCCAACACCAGGAAAAGCGATGCAGGCATGTATGTCTGTGTGGGAACCAACATGGTTGGGGAACGAGACAGTGAAACAGCACAACTCACAGTGTTTGGTAAGAGTCTGCTCTTCTCTAGTTTCCCTAGCACTAGCATGTTGGCAAATCTGGTCTCTCTCATTAGAACAAACACAGTTCTGTATCCTGTCAGCCCTTGCACAGGACAAGGCTTTTCATTTCAGTTCAGCTCCCACCACAGTGATTGAAAAAGACAGATTTATTAATGAGTTGACTTTCCTTTGAAATACATGGGACTTTAACTATTTAATCGTGTGACTAATCGACTTCCATTAATAAGTGTTAAATGGCACACACAGATTGGTACAGTGTTAATCTTTACCTCTCATAACTCAAATTGCTTTTTAAATGAAAACTAATTGGCTTTGTTATGAAGGTAAAGGACCTTACAGAACTGTGGTTTCATAGAGCATGCTGCCATCCGTGGTAATTGATAATTATGGTAATTTTCACATAGTGAATTTGCCCAGAAGTAAAATTTCCTATGACTTTATGATGCAAGTTTTCTCTTGTGAAGACCAGTCTGATTTCCCTAGCATCATGGAGAGGTTTTATTTTTATTTGGATGGCCAAAAATTGTACTTATATTTGCCAGATGAGTAGAATATGAAATATGTGACAAGTTAGGAACATTTTTGGTAAACTTTGCCATTAATGTAATTTTGTTTCATCATATCCCTTACATTTCATATGTTGTTTTTGGTTTTCCTCAACTTCTTTAGATTATTTATAGCTAGGACTAATATAATATCAAGGATTAATTTCCACTGTATGCCTTGATTCTAAATTAGTGACTGCTAATTACCTCATTCATCTCAGAAGAGCCAAAGACAACACACGTGTCCTCTGAAACATCTACTGTCAGGCCACCTGCTTCCTTTCACACTGCCAGCCCTCAGCTCAAACAACAAAACTCAAGGCATCAGCTAGTGAGCTTGACAACACTCACTATAAAGCCGCACAGCTTCGGGGGAGCTACAGCACACAAACAATACCCTTTACTCAGCAGGTTGGAGTGGGTTTACTTCAGTTCCCAACTACCCCCACCAATTGACCACTTAAATATAGGAACACCATGTTATATTCAAATAGCTTTCAGGTTTGTTTAGTGAATTAAAGAAGTAATCTCTTTGTGTGATTGATTCAGTAAGTTGTTATGTTTTCTTCAGCAGAAAAATTGAATTAAACAATTCCTATTAGAGTTTATCAGTCCCCCACTTTGTATTTTATGTATCATTTTTCTTATATATTCTTAATGTTATATATATTAACATTTTAAATGTAATTTATAAACCAGAATGTAAAATAAAAGTATCATATACAAATCATTTAAAATGTTGATTTAATGGCATTGTAGCAGGCAATACTGTTGTTATTATACTGGCTTTACACTTCTCAAGGTGTTAACTTCTGACCATTTATACATAAAAGTAAAAATAATCTATTCTGGAAAACAAATGGCTACCCTGTCCCATTATTTCAGAAATAAAAGCAGTTTCCATGTACTTGACCACATGCTTGTGGCACATTGTTCATGGGAATATTTAGTATCTACAGTATGCACAGAAAGGTACATGAACATTTATCCCCATAAGTCACATATACTGAAAGTTACATTTGAAAACCAAGATGGTTGCACAAAGGGTAGTATGAGTCTGTTGCAGATGATACCCTGTTTTCTTTCAACCAATTACTAGATTAGGTTTTTGGATCAATTAGCTACTAGCTACCAAATAATCTAGGTGGATCATCTCTCATTTGTAGCCTTTTTTTATATTCTTAAAATTACTGCTTCAGGGATCTAAGTGTTATCATTTATTTTTTGTGTATTATTTGCCTCTATCCTAGTCTTAATTCAAACCAAATCAAAATCTTGGAGGTGTGTACGTTCCTTAGTTATATATAAAACCAGGCCTTTAAGAACTCTTTTTTTAAGCACAGATGAGGTCTTCATATTTACTGTGTGGTGTATTTGTTGTGTTATAAAGAGCGGCCTACATTTCTGAGGCGGCCAATCAACCAGATAGTGCTGGAGGAGGAGGCAGTGGAGTTCCGGTGCCAGGTCCAAGGAGACCCCCAGCCCTCTGTGCGCTGGCGGAAGGACGATGCAGACTTGCCCAGAGCACGGTAAGGATTTGCAATCCTCCTACAGAATCCTACACAAATAGAGGAGTTCACATCATAAATTTCCTGCCCACTGGGGCCATAGGATGTATTTGTCTTTTACAAGCGTGATAACCATAATGCTCTGCTTGCTAGATTATCCATACTTTGATAATACTGTAGGTACAAGGTACAACCAGCCTCAGAAACCTTGTTGGATCTTACCTTAAACTAAAATGCATAAGCATCTCTGCAGGTTTTACGTTCCTTGCACTAGCTTCCTGTGGATTGCACAATAAAATTTAAAACAGTACTGCAGACTCTTAAAGAGCTTAAATGCTTTGATCCTGACTACATCAGTGGACAGTTATGTCCCTATACTTCCACACAGCACGTGCACTCTTTAGACCCTGGCTTTTCCTTCAGTTCACAAAATTAGAATGCAGACCTTGGGAGACTATTAGGATGGGAGTCTTCTGTTCTATTGCTCCAAGGCTGTGGAAGAATCTCATAGCCAATTTTAGAGTCATCACTTTTAAATCCTGTCTTAAATCTTAGTTTTATACACTAGTTTTATTTTGTGTTCCATCTGTTTCTATGGCTTTTGCTTTGTTTCATTTCAAAGTATTTTATATACTGTTTTTTATTTAATTAAATAACTATTCAATAATTTTAACTGTATATTTTGGAATTTAACACCAGTTACATATTGTTTCTATAAAGTTGCAATTGCTTTATACAGTGTGAAAACAGTAGTAGTGATGAAGTAGCATCTGCATCAGAAAGCTTCTACCTAATTCACTGTACATCTGAGAAAGAAGAAGAATGAGTAAGGTGTGCTGCTATAAAGTTCTGGCACAGGCTGAAAAAATGGTTAATCTAAAGATACTAAGAGACAAAACTCTATTGATTTATTCAACTATGTTTCTTCATCTCTTACCGAAATAGGATGAGGGATCTGTTCTGCAACACTGAAGTGTCATCAAAATAAATCACCTCAATGTGTTTTGTAAATCGATAGAAGGACAAAAATGTTGTAAATGCTAAATTGAAAAGCACTGTGGATGATAACAATGGCTATTTGAAACCCAAATTCAAAAGAAATGTATTTGAAATCTCATCCCATTTGAAAACATACTGTAACATTTAGTCACAGTTAGAAAATATTTAACATATCTGATACGATTCTGCCAAAAGCACAAGTCTTTGTTGCACAATCTAAAGTGTACTGATCTCCAGAAATCAAATATGAGATACAAGAAATAATCATGCAATAAAGGGTTAATTATAAATAATCTTATACAGGGACATACTTTACTATAGTTCTTTCCAAATACGAAAATCTATTTTGGCACTGTTATGATAATTCCAAACATTTATATAAGATTTTTGTAAAGATATTTTTTGTAAGTTTCAAAGCAATATTATTATAACTTAATTCAATAGAGGCTCCAGATAATACTGAATTTGCAAGAATTATAGGAGAATGTCTGCATGAGCTACTTAAAATATTAAGACAGGACCAGACAAGTTGTATGTATATATATATATTTTTGGTATAATATTTTTAATAACTAGCCATTTTGATGCAATAATATATCAGTCAAAAAACTACCAAAGTCTAAGAGTAGTCTAAGTGCTAATGTCGCCATGCCAGTATCATGCTAACACAGTGACAGGTCTGTGCTTCAGGTCTGTCATAGTGTTTTCACTCTACACATTCTTCTGAAAAATAAGATGGAATGCCTGCATACACTCTAATACGTTGGCGCTATGATAATATTTTCTCAGTTAGCTAAACACCCAGCCACATAAACAAACTACTGAACATGTAATATAAGAACATTCCTTTCTAATGGCTATTACATGGTATCCAATGATGAGGTACAGTTAGAAAACAAAAGAGAAAGGAGAGAAAACGGCACACCCCGATTCTTGAGATTCTCCCACAGTAGGAGCCCGGAGGCTCCGCGCAGCCCACCTATATCCGAAGCCCTGGAATTACACCTGATATAGCCAACCTGCTGTTTGCCAGACAGAAAGTAAATGCACATATGACAAAAATCAATTTAGTAAAGCACGTACTTTTGTCTTAATTTACTCTGTCATAGTCATTGTGGATTATTTTCGTGAGCGTTTTATCTGTGTTAACTAAAATGAAAAACAGGTTATTGATGAGCATTTTCAGCATAGCCATATCACCCTGCAACTCACAGCTGGCAGCCCACTGAAGTTAAGCAAGTATAAGAATAGTCAGTAAATGGATGGGAGACCTGGGTAAAACATTGTTGTTGGAAGTGGTGTTAGTGGGACCAGTAGGGGGCGCTCACCTTGCAGTCTGTGTGGATCCTAATTCCCCAGCATAGTGAGGGGGTCACTATACTGTAAAATGGTGCTGTCCTTTCGATGAGATGTAAAACTGAGGTCCTAATTCACTGTGGTCATCCCAGGGTGTTTCTTGAAAAGTGCAGGCATGTTTCCCTGGCGTCCTGGCCAAATTCCCCATTGGCTTTATGAAATGGCTTCATCACTCAGTTGCTGGAGTATGGTGAGCGTACTAGTGTACTATGGCTGCCGTTGCATTATCCAGGTGGGTGCTACACATCAGTGGTAGTATAGGGGAGTCCCTATTACCGGTAAAGTGCTTTGAGTGGAGTGTACAGAAAAGCACTACATACGGTAACTGTAAGGAATTATAATATTCGGTGACAAAATTCACACTGGTTTCAAACTTTTCATATCATGTGTAACTAATAAACAGTAGTTTTCCTGTTGTAATATATTTAGCTGCAGACCAATCAAAATTAATGTTCTCAAGTCTGATTTGTAGCTAAAATAATATTTGTATTTTCTTAAGGAATGACTCCTACATAATGCTGGCTGAGGTGGGGAGGGGATACTATCAGTAAACTAGTTTCAGGGATTTGGTAGTCAAAATGAATTTTTATCAGGTTTTCAGTACAAAACAAAATGCAGTATGACTATTCTTAGTTCTCATGCTACTGTACATGATATCGTACTGTGATAAGTACGGATAGAAACTTCACCTTAATGACAGATAATATCAAAAAGTATCCTGACATCCTTTTAAATTGTTTCTTATCCACCTTTCACAGCTTTCTGTGAAAACTTAGCAGCAGCTTCCCCCAGACTACCTGGGTTTTCAATTAAAAGGTCTGATTTCAGTTTACGTACCTGTAATGGGATTTTTCAGTAAATGTTCTTGGTAAAGGTGCACTGTATTTAAGGTTTAAAGCTGGTTAGAATCTAGTACTTGTTTTGTAATTCAGCAAGTAACTGCTCCTTATGAAAATCTATCATACAAAATGTCAGAACACTCAGGATGGTTAGGGTACCAGATCTGTCAGAGGAGTCAGAAGTGTATCTTATACTGCAACATAAAAACAGAAAATACTGCCAAAACTATTTGTGTATTGAATTGATATGAATTGATAAATCTGAACTTTGAGATGGGAACTATTTAGCATCTTGGCACTTTGTAGTTTTCACTTTTGAAAGATGTTTTTGTAAAAATCCAGTACTTTTGAAATCCTTTAGATACTATAGTGTGTTAAAGTAGCAATTTTTAATACTGTCTCTTAATGTTGTTATTATTGTATTGATGTTGAAAATTAATGTGCACTTGGCTGGGTGCACTTCCTTCCAATGTGCACTTCCTGATCATAGGTTTGTAGTCTATCCCATTTTGCAAAAATTATATTAGTGATTAGGGATTGGACCGCAGCATTAGGAATGGTTTGGCTTACTCATAAAAGAAATGGCATTATTTGTTGGGAACCTAGGGTTTATACAGTACTGGTGTCTAATGAAGTACTGAAGTGGGCATAATGAAAGATTATTTTTGAAGGAGATAGTGTGAGCAATACAAAACCTGCAAGGAACTAATCTTAATGCCCTTGTCATTATTTTATCTTGCTATTTGTTGTGCTATAATTCTGACTGTCTGTGTACTGTATGTGTGTATGTGTCATTTTTCCTTTTTCCCTCTTTTATAAGAATTACCCATTGTGCTTGCTGTCAAAACAGAGCCTGGAGTGTTTTTTTCATCTTTTGGACTCACGCAGGCTAACAGAATTTTAAGAGCGGTCAGAGATGGGAAGTGTGACAGATTAAATAGAGGTTGCCACCAAGCAGTCTGGATTGTGTTAGATCATCTTGAGAAGTGATGTGTACCAATTATGATGTCATAACAGAGAATGATACAGAAAACAGTGAAAGCTACACATGAAAAGCTCTGGTCCCCATTAATTAAAAAGGAAATAAGGAATAAAAAAATCGAGTCTGTCAGTTTTCATTCTCTGGGCTGCACAGCCTATAATTGCTATTGAGCAATGCTTAAAATACAATAACTCAAAGTAAAATATTCTTAAAAGGAAATTAAAAGGCTGGTATATCATTCTTGATTGTTACTTGCCTGACTATCTTTGTAGAAAGACCAAAATCATGACAATATGAATGTACAGTACTTTACAGTACTTTTACAGTATTCATACTCTTTAAACGTTTAAAAATATTCCTGGCCAAATCATGTACTTTTCTATTTTTTAAGAGAAAATTTGTTTATTTTATTGGAAAGATAATATTGTCTTTGCTTATAAAATGCCTCTCAATAGGTCTCTACATCTGGTCACACAATATAATTTTATTTATCTAACTCACATTTAAACCATAGCTTATTTGAATTAACTGTAAAATCTGGAAACCATGTTGTTTCACTTTTGCCTAATCTAAGTACATCTGATCTAGATAAAGTATTTCCAGCTATCAATAGAACAGCTCACCTCCCTAACACAAGCACTCCCATGAGAAAGTGCTGTACAGACTGCAGTGCATCTATTGTATGATGGCCTACAGAAGGCATTGCAAACTCAGGGGCAAATTGTGTGCTAGGGGCAAATGAAACAGGGGAGTTCATGCAAGACAAACTTCACCTCTCTTGATCTCTAATTAAAAACAGTATCTTGCAGTCCTTACTGAATAATTGGCAGCTAAGCAACGTACCA